CTGTGAGATACTGGAATGCTGATGTTTGATGATTCAAACAATCGACCATTTGCAAAAGCAGAGGATGCTTTGCTGATGATGCTCCAAGAAGGGGTGCACGCCCATTTCTGGACACTACAGATGGATGTTGAACAAGATAAGGGAGGAGGCTGAAAGGAGGCAAGTCCTGTCAGGTGGGATAATGCTTTTTATCATGCCAACGTCCTTACACAAGCGGCTCAGCTTCCTATGTAGGCTGGAGGTACTCATCCTTTCTGATAATTGTCTCAGCTACACTGAATAAAGGGGCAGCTGAAACGTTGTGTCCAATGATCCCACAGTATTACATCATCTGTGTAAATGTCCCCGCTCCAGCAGAGGTACCTGGGCATTCCCACTGGGCCTGAGTGTGGTATTAACCCACTGGACTTTGTGCTTCCTGGGCTTCCCCCAGTCCCACCGGATCAAGGCTGTGATCATCGCTTCAAACAACAGATACAGAAATTGCAACAATCAGGTCTCATCTCTGGATTCACAGGTGGTGAATTCACACCTTTCTAATCTTAGCCTCTCTTTCTCCTTCTTTCCTTTCCCTTATACATTTTCTTAAGTGTTAATTTTTATGCTTTTATACTGTTGAATTTCTAAGCAAAACTGCCGCATTCTAAAATTTGCCAAGTTCCTTATTCTACCTTGATGTTCTAAAGTTTTCAAGTAAAATTTTGATACTGAACCTCCCAAGAGTTTTGGTTTTTCTTCCCCAAGCACTACTCACAGTAAATCAAACAACCTTTACCAAGGGACCAGGACATAACAATGGCTCAACAGCTTCCCAGTACTTTGTGTAAGTAACCACTGAGAAGAGACAAAGTCCTACACTAGTGTGGCAATATTGGGATTTGAATATTAGCCTTGCAAGGCAGCCTTCTCACTCACTGTGTGTTTTGGGAAAATTGGTATCCATCTCTGTTTGAAATAAAAGCACAATAAATAGCAAGCACCTGTATGATGCTGGTTGTCTCACTCAGTTACTACAGCATGACACCTCCTTCGCTTCAATCTGACAGCTCCAGAGCTGCAAGTTGCACATTAAATCATCTGGAACTACCTACTGCCATGCACATCAGCAGCACAAAGCTGAAGGAAGGTTTACACTGTCCCTGAGCAGCCGTCATGATTGCCACAGCAACCATACACTGTGGTACAGGAACAACAGGGAGCAGGAGGCAGGAAGGAAATATCTATTTCTTGCTGCCATGGGTTAGGGATGGGATTTTATTTTTTTTCTTTTAGTGGGAAACTAATCAAATTGTATCTCTTGCCTCTTTGTGGAAATGTGTTCCATGAAGGAATGGATGCACATAAAATTGTGCCCACTGACCACAATCTCTTTGTTCTACAATTCCTTCTTGTAATGGAGTATCAGGCAATGATACTATCAGTTTGCTTAATGCAGCCACTGAAACTTCAAATATTCAAGTAAACAAATTAAGTGGAAAATGGCCATGGTAGTAATAAGAAAACAAACTTAACCAGCAGGTGGTACCCACTTTATTGTTGGAGTTAATGTGCCATTTTTTTATTACTAAGCTTCTTAGATTGGAGCTATCCTGATGCACAACAATTTCCATTTTCTATTCAATGGATAAAAGATTAGGTGTATTCACTCTCAAAACAGTTTTTTGGAATAATTAACTTTATGACTAACATCTTTCACTGCCACAGATGTGGTTGTTTTCAAGGACAAAGTGGCCTTTCCCAGTGGCTGCCCAGTGAAGCTCCAAAGACAGACCCATGCAGAAACACATTCTGGCTTCACATCATGATTTGTGAAAAAAGCACGCCAGCAACACGCCAGTCCAAGCTGCAAAATTAAGTGCTCCCAAAAGAGTAGAGCTGCCTGTATTTGTCAGAAAACTCAGACACCAGATTTACTGTCTTTAAGGGAAAATACTAAGATTAATTTATCGAGACAAAAGTAAATACTCCTTTGAAAGCTGAAAACAGACTTCTGAGCTATTACCCAGCACAATGTGTTTTTTAGGGATGGCCTGAAAGTGAAGTCTCCTAGCCTGCTTCCTGACTAAATAGCTTTGGTGAGTCCCCATGCTCCTATTTTAGCATAAAATAGATCTTGGAATAAACTTTTTAAAGCATTCTATGAAAGTGTTACAATAGAGAATAAATAATCCATAAATAATCTGTAAAATACTATCCTACCCTTGTAATCTCCAGCTATATGTACACAGACATGTGTAGTCTATTTAATTTTAAAAATATTCTTATTCCATAGCCCTCATTAAGCACCTTGGTCCAAATACATTTCTGAACATAACTCTGATGATTGTGATGTCAGCTCAGGTAAGTATGTAATTTCATAAAAATTATTCATTGAATTGAGAAATGAAAATGTCTCTGTCCTGCAAATCTAACACACCTAGATCACTCTTCTAGGGCCTCACTTTTTTATTCATCTTGTGTACTTCAGATTTTATTCAATGAAAACTTTAAACTTAATCAAGTAAATGGAATATTACTACTACTACTACTGATGATGATGATGAAGATGATGATGATGATGATGATGATGATGATGATGATGATGATAATAATAATAATAATAATAATAATAATAATAATAATAATAATGATGATGATGATGATGATGATGATGATGATGATGATGCTTCCTGGGCATACAATTCAGAGACCATTATTTAAGAGTGAAATCCAACATGTCAGAACTTGAAAAATTTCATGATTTGAGAAAAGAGGTAGTTTTTGCTATGATTATGCTTCTTCCCTGGCTACAACACTTGCATTAGACTTCTATAACTGATACCAGTATTTTCATGCATTTTAAGCACATAGAGAAAGAACAATTATTTCCAAGAAAGCTTTTTGTTCCTTGCACTTGTTACTTGTGTTTTATTTTTGTTCTCCTCATCTGTGATTCAGCTGTATTGATGTACTTTACAAGCATCTTCCTGCCTGTACCCTGTTTGCTCTCAATTATTTAGTGGCACACAGAACTAAGACAAGCCTCTCCTGCACTGTCTACTTTGTTCTCTATCAATCCAGCAGCCACAAAATCAGATAGGCAGGCACACTGACCATGAGCATAGAGAAAATAGCCACGATCAATTTAGCAGCTGCTGAGCTCTCTAAGACGATCTGTTGCATCTTCCTTCTATTTTTTGACAGGTTGATCAGACTGATGATGGTTAGTTCAACAAGCAGTGTTTTGCCCTAAGTACAACCAAATCAGAGGGTCAAGCTTGAGCAAGGACAAAAGCTGGGACAGATGTGGCAATATGAAGCATCTGGCTTTGTAGGAGCAGTGAAGTCACCACTCACTCTTGGTGTGAGCACTCTTGGGAGTACTTCACAACCCTCAAGGACATCCATTTCCTCTGGTTAACCCCCAAGGACATCCATTTCCTCTGGTTATGGGTATGCTGGAAACCACCTGGTTTCCTCTGGTGCCTTCAGCACCATGAGCTTTTCTTTTTCAGCACCTTTCTTTTACATACATATAGGAGGTTGTGAGCTTCACAGGATGCCATTAGCCTAGCAGCCACACCCCTGACATAAAACCTTTCTAGCATACCAGTGTTAGAATTAGCTGAGTACAGCTTAGGTACTAGACAGAAACAACTGTTCTAATGATTGATCTTTACATATGGTTAGGCTAGTGTTACAAATTCAAATTCAGAATACTTAATTTTGGGCACATTATCTCCTGGCTAATAGCTCTTCACAAGATTGGTAGGTACAGAGTGTCAGTGGCGACAGATGTTGCATATCTGCAAAGAAACTTGTAACAAATCCACAACCTTGCTTGGAATAAAAATCTTAAAGCGAATACTGCAGACAAAACCTTCACAGTTGTTTTTCTGTAGCAGGGTTTGTTCAAAGCCTGAAAACCTGTTCTGGATTTTGATGTTTGGAATAATCAAGAATTGCGTTTTTCTAGTCTCGATAATTCAATGTCTGCCTCTGCTTTCTATCCATCATTCCCTCTTCATTCCTGCCATCTGTGCTCCTCTCTCCCTTCCTCCATCTCTTCCTCTTTACTTTCTTTTATCTTCTATGTATGTTTTTTATGCCTATATTCAAAACAGTGGTTTACAATTAGGTTCTATTATTATTATTATTTTTATTACTACTCCTACTACTCCTACTACTCCTATTACTATTACTACTACTACTGAAATGGCCACAAATAATTAATGCTGCTACCCTAAAAAATTCACTCTGTTAATCACTGATCAGAAATGTTACAGAAAATTCATTTTAGGGCACTATCATCAACCTGGAGTTCCCAGAAGCTGTGATGTTAATCAAACCCAAACCTTAGAAGAAAGATTAAGTTATAAAATTGAATATGAATATATGTCTGTCTAGTCAGTTTGTGACTAATAAAAGCCTCCAGAAATGAATTGGAAATTTTTTCAAGGTGCTTTTTCTTCAAAAATATTTCTGCAAAAGCAGGCTCATTGATCTCCAAGAAACCATTGAAAGATCTTGTGCTCTTCAAGAGAATACAAGCGTGTGTTCAAGGGATAGCCTTGCCACTGCAGAGCACGAGCTTCAGAGACAAGCTGCTTTCCTTTCATGTCGTGTGTCTCCATAGAGAGTTAATAGCCCTCTGATGCATCTGCAACTCTACAGCATCTTTAAAATACATTCCCAGGTACAGATGCATAATTATGCCTTCTTCTGCTTTCTGTAGTTGCATGAAGTAGAGTTTTAGTCATAATATGCCTGAGAAGGACTGAAAAATAGTGATATCTGTACCCTGGTAGCTGGGTTCTATGCTGTCAAAGGAAATGTAGAGGAATTTACAAAAGGGAACAGATCTGTTGCATTAATCACTTTAAATGCAAAAATATTGAGTAAAGCAAACAAAAGTCAGCATGATACCACTTTAGAGTCTGGATAACAGAGATCAGATTTGTCATATCTTCCAACAGGCAAACTAAGGATTTGATCAAAATAATGCATTGAACTCAACATACCAGCTCCTTCTTCTTCATGCACTCCATGAGGATAATGAAGAGGTGCTGTGCCTGGGTTCGGGTGTATGTGAAAGTCTTCTGGATGGTAACTAGCAACTGGTCCCTCAAAGACTCGTTGATAAGTCTGAAATTCAAAAAGATTAAAAAAACAGACATGTGGGAACATTGTAACTTCATTTCAACTGTCTTCAGGGACAAAGGTCAAAAAAATAAGAGTCAACAGATCACTCAAGTTTGTTTTGGGCAGGTTTCAAGGTCAGGAATTTCTGGAGCCATAAGAGATAAATTGGTAAACACTGTTTTAGGAAAACACATTGATTGTGCTGAGGCCCATCATCTACTAGGTTTTCATATCAATTCCCACATACTGCATGACAGAAGGTCATTCAAACTGTCAGCTCTGTGGGATTTCGTAACAAAAACAAGAACCACACTGACAGTCTGAATTTGAGGGAGACCAACATTTTAAAGTTAACTGAAGACTCATTTCTCTCAGTGAGTTAGAAAAATTCAACTTGTAGTTAATTTTATGAAAGTGGGAACATTTATGTTGCCAGTGGTTTTGATTTTAGTTTGAATATGTCAACCCACCCTACTGATGTTACACAGGACCTCATAAGCAAACAAACAAATTTCTCTGCTCCTCACTACACTCAAAGAAAACATTTTCATTTTGGGCATGCTGATTCTCTAGGAGCTCGAGAGAACCACTTTATATTTCTCCTCAGTGCTAAGGTCAGTACTTGCAAAAAGCAGCCCAACAGCAGAAATAAATAGTAACAGTACATGAAATGCAAGTACTTGAACCCTACCCCTTCATAAAAAAAAAATAAATCTATTCCTCAGGAGTATTCTGGGCGAAACATTTCTGTTCTCAATGTCAAAATACTGGGCTTTAATTTAGAACAGGAATCCTTTAATCCTTCTACACCACAGCAGTTTTCTCACTTAAAAATTACAACTTAGCGTTTCAAATGAGCTAAGTTGGAATATTTTATGGGATAAGTCATCCAGTAGAGTGAAATCAGAAAATCTTCATGTCTCATATTTTAGGCCAGAAGATTAAAAAAAAATATTTAGTCCTGCAGCAACTGCAGAGAAATATCAGAAGCAGCAGGTATGTAAAAGTCAGTGTTAGCTTAGGGCAGCTGCTCTGGGAGAACAATGACTGGATCCTTTATTTTGCATTCAGTTGGCTGAAGTTTCCTGCACTTCTCCTCAGTGAGGTGGCACAAATGAGACCGCAGGATACTCATTACACTGCTGAATTTCAATCTGATTTCATGATCTAATCTTTATACCTGCAGCAAACCCTGTCAGAAGAGACAACAAATGGAATGGGAAAGAAGTGCATGGAAGTATATAGAAGATCTGGCACAAGGAATGCACGTGTTCTCTACCACATGAATTTGATTTTGGCCGTAAATATTCCCGTTGAATAGAACTTTGACTTCAAAAAAAAGCCTGGAAAGCATATGTCTGTGTGTTGGGATTAAAATGAATTTACATGGGGTTTTAGACCACGCTATGTGGATGACTGTTCTTCCTGGGCTTGGCTTCTGCTTCATCTCCTACTTTATCACGGGCTCCCTTTGGGTGGTGAGTCTACCTCTGCACCTCCTGTTTTCATCTAGGAGCAGTCTGGCCCTAGATGTGCTATTTCCTGGGATACTGGAGAGGCAGCAACCATGCATCCACTGCTCACACATTAGGTGAGCACTCCTTTCCTGCAGCATGGCCCACCTCCCTCACAAAAAGGCAATGCCGTGTGGCGAGTTAAAATGCACACAAGGAGTTAAAGTGCTGTCCAGCCTTCCTGGTGGACAGCACTGGAGCTGGCAGCAGAGGACTTGCTGTGTGGGAATTGTAAGAGAGATAACCTGACCTCCTGTACAGGAATTAAGATGTTAAAAACACAGGGGGACATGAAACAAGATGACAAGGGTACAGGTAGAAACGTAGGACTGTGCACTAAAGAGAATCAGCTTGGAAAGAGTGATACCCAGACAAGCACTAATATACATTGAGTTATGTATTAGTAGGTCATATGTGATATAAATTCTGATTTTAGGTTCTTGAAAAAAGGTGTTAGAAATCTGGTTTAATCAAATTTTAAAAAAAATAAAAATGGTGCTATCACTGTATTTATAAGTGCATCAGAACTATGCAATTTTCCATACTTCAAATGAAGAAAGAAAAAAGAGTTTATTCACAATGAACAAGTTTCCTAAAAACATCACCTGGAGAAGCTAAAGAGGTTCATATAAATATCTAATTTCCTTTGGAAACGGAAGAGTATGAAAATGATATGAAAAAATTCATAGAGTTGGAAGATTCTCAAATTAAAAATTTCAGAAAACATTTCTACAGTTTCTGGCCAGCTTTCTTATAATATTCTCATTTTCCTTAAATAATGTGTAGAATCCAAATATTAAATTTCATTTGAGAAATTGTCTCTCAGTCTAACACACACAAAGCAAGAGAAAGTTGCATTGAGTGAAAGCAGAATTATGTCTTGAGCAACCATAACTTTTCTTCCTTGAATTAAAGCTCTCAGAAACTGTATAATGGCATTAGTCTAAGCAGCATGTAAAGCAAACTTCATGTGAAAGATACAGAATTTTAAAAACCCGGAAATGAAGAAGCTTCCCTGACTACAGGTAAAATATCTGTTAAAATACTGCTGCTCAGAAACTTTCCGTAGTCATAATTTGATTTATGCAGATTCCTACCCTCATTAAATGTTTTTCTTTAACATCTCCTTGGTCTGCAAGTCTACATCAAGCCTATTCAATGCCTTTGTGAGATCAAAAGCCTGAAGTGATTATAATCAGAAACATAAACAATAATAGCAATCTCTCCAGTAAAGTAATCATAGCTTTGTTTGCACTGAAATCAGGTATAACCAGAATGGATCACTTTTATTCCTTAGGAGTCTATAAATGTTAGAAGGTGTCAAATCAAAGTTCCCAATTGTGTAATCCAGCTGGGACAAACACAAATTGTTCCATGCTATTAGTGGCTAAATCTACTTTTTGATGCAGACCAAATCCAATTTGTGTTAAACAAGTAATTTCACAGAATACTGTGAGCAAAACAACTGAGACTTGCAGGTGGGGTGATGATTTCTCTCCTTTGCAAACACCACCACATTTCTTACACACACCTTAAATATGTGCTTTTTGAAATCACAGATTCAGTTTTAAATTCACAGAAAAAGAGATGGGCCCACTTTACCAGAGTGAAACACCACAGTTACGACTTCCATCAAAGTCAGCATAGACTGAATAGTGTCAGAAGAAGACAGTATTTTTATCATCTTTCTAAAAATCTAAAAATATTTTGCAACATGCAAATAAAATTCTTCTGGGGACATTTTGATGGCATGATTCTCTGAATTCCACTTACTTACATGGAAAAAATACTACTCCTGCCTAAAAAAAATGTACTACAAAACAATTGTGTAAAGCGTTCTTTTTTTGCCTTCCTCATGTAATTTGAAACTGTCCTTTCATTCCATAAATACGTAAGACATGCCCATTACCCTACCAGCCCAGGTATATTCAGCATTTTTTTCTTTCCCAGAGATTCTGGATTGCTGGCGGAATTTAGGTACCTAATCTCAAAAATCTGTTTTCTAAAGTAGAGCTATATAAATTTACATTTATTTTCAGTACAAAAATTTACTCAGAATTGTTGTCTAAGAGTTTGTGGGTACGTTTTGTTTGCTTGTTTGCTTGTTTGTTTGTTTCCAGAAGATCTCAGCCCTAGTTTTGACACATCATCAGAACTGATGGCTTTCCAGAAAAGTCAGGATCTTGATTTTTAAGAAAAAATCCCTTGCATGAGCTCAAGGAGTTAGTCAATAAGACCCACTGGGAAACTGCTCTCTGGGCAGCAGAACTGTCCTGGGAAATTGCCCTCAATGAGCAGAACAGAGCTGGCAGATCTCTAAGGACACATTCCATGAAGCACAAGAATGAGACATCCCCAGGCAAAAGAAATAGGGCAAAGAAGGCAAGAGACTACCACACATGAGAGGAGACTTGCTGACTAAACTTAAAAAAATAAAAAAGCAGAAAATACATCATGAGTGAAAAATGTACAGGTAACCTGGGTAGAGTTCAGGCACACAGCCCAGTTATACAGGACAGGGTCAGGAAAGCCAAGACAAAGAGATACACAGAATAAAAGGTAGGGCTTCTACAGGTATGACAACGAGAAAAGGAAGGTTGAAGAAAGCATTTACCCCATCTGGTAAGCAAGGTTTGCAACCTGGCAATAATGTACAAAGAAAAGGCTGAGGTACTCGACAGCTCACTAAGGCCAAGTGCAAAGGCCTGCATCTGGGTCAGGGCAACCACAATAGCAACACAGGCTGAGGGATGAACAGATAAGAAAGAACCTTCTGGAGAAGGGCTTGGGGAGCTGGTGGGTGAAAGGCTGGACAAGAGCTGATGTGTGTGTGCACCCACAGCCCAGAAAAAGGAGCACCTCTCCAGCCCTCTGACTGTGAGGAAAGGCTGATGGATATCAAGGGATGTTGAACCTGGAGAAAAGAAGGCTCTGAGGAAAACTTATTAAAGCCTTTGAGCACTTGTAGGGTGCCTGTAAGAAAAATGGGGACAGACTTTGTAGCAGAGCTGGTTGTAATAGAACAAGGAACAATATTTTTGAAACTAAAAGAGTGTTGATTTAGATTAGCTATAAACAAAAATATGTTTACACTGTAGACGATAAAGTGGTAAAAGAGGTGTCCCAGAGAGCTGGTAGGTGTCCCATCCCTGGCAATGCTCATGGTCAGGTCAGAGAGGGCTCTGAACAACCTGATCTATTTGAACTTGCCCAGGGCAGGGGACCTCTAAAGATGCCTTCAAGTCAAAACTATTCTATATTCCTATGATTCAGTGTTTAAGATCAATCAGGAGAGGCCACTTTAAAAACCTGAACTGACAAAATAAAAAAGGCAATAGTCTGTTTATGTATTGATAATTGATATGTTTATATCGGTCCAAGATGATTAAACAGTGAAGCAAAGCTTTCTTCATTGCTTTGCTGATGCAGAAGACAGATTACAATATTTTGACCTATTCCCTCTTCAGAAAGAGTATTTTTTTTAAGCTA